ATGGCAGGCATATCACTTTTTGTTTTCCTATGTACTGTTCTAATTATTGCTCCGCGATGAATGTTTTTTATTTCTCAGCCAGGCATCTCTCGGGACTGATTTTCATTCAGTACAAATGTTCTCATTATAAAGACTTACCATGAGGAGAATATAAATGAGAAGATGAGTGCGCAGTAAGAACTTGCTTATACAGAAATTGTACTGATCAAAGGAATAGCAGAGTAAAACATGTCAGCATTAATGTGCTCCTGTTTCCCGGGTTCAAATAGTTCCCTTTCCATAAGAATAGTATGACTTCTGGCCTCTGAAACCATGCCAATTTTGCTTAACTGAAATAAAAAATGCAATTCATTTCCATAGAACGTTATAGTAGGGCACTAATTAGTCCTTTGAAGGCAAAGGCAGCCTCCATCAACCTCAGTGATTATGCTTTATCATTATGTGAAACCTCATGGAGGAAGTGAAATTCTGAAAGGTGCTCACAAATTAAATTACTACATGACCTTGGCTCAGAACAATTTTCCTAAGGCTAAAACAACACTTGCTTTATCTGACTATCCACTAATCATGTAGCTTAACCACTTACCATCTTGGTTGTAGGAGGACGTATCTATTAGGGCCTGTATTTGCCGAGTGGTTTTAAGCAGCCTGAGCTGTCTCAGAATCAGACAGTTCAAGTTTCTCTGCAATGACATTGTCTTCTTTGGGAAGACAGTGAGAACTTTCCCCCTCCTCTGAAGGGGCTCACTAGAGAGAAACTTGCTCTGTGCTACACTACCGGCTCAGATGATACATTTTTTCTAAGGCTAAAACACCACATTATTAGGAGTTGAACAGAGAGTGACTGCTTTGAAAAAGGCTGTGTAAAATAGAGAGAAAATGAAACAAGCCTCAGGTATTGCTACCAGTCTCCCCTGGAATCAGCAGAATTCCAGTCCCTTCACTGGCTTCTTTAGCAGAGGATTTGACTCTGCATATAGTGCATTTCATTGGCTGTAATTCATCTGCAATGAAAGCTTTTCAATTTAGACTTAATTTCACTAAAAAGTAATTGAATTTAACAAGTGAACATGTATTTCTGCTAAACTTCAGCTTGCAAGCTCTGCTGAATGCAGTGACTTCGCTATTTTTCACCTATTTTTCCTGTTTGCTCATCACATAAATCAGCAAGTAGCTTAGGATATCTCTCAAGATCTTTATAAAACTGGAATTCCAGCAAGAATATACATCATGTCTAGACTGACATAAAAATCAAATGGTATCATTCGTATCACCTGAATGAAGCATGGCTGACACACTTTGATCCATGATGGACATTCACTTGGCCTTTAGGATAAAATAGTACACAGAAAGTGTGCACAGTGATAATCAGAAATAGATTATGAAGCCTCTTGAAGCCTAACTTCCAACTTTGACATGAAGTGGTATTTTACTGCTCAAGGCATCATATTTATTTCAGTGGAAGTATCTGCAGATTTAGGGTAATACCCAGTGTGGATATCAGTATCTGTATATGTGGATATACAATATCTGGATTTGCCCTTAAGTTCCAATTCCTGTTTAGAGTTGTATCACCTGCAGTCAACACAGAAATATTGTTTAGTTTTCTTTTTACTATGAGCTTGCTGCACATCCATCTACAGTGTTGCTATCTAGCTACTAGGCTGAGCATACTTCTTGTGTTCTCCCGTGCTTAAAATCATCTGCTTCTAAAACAGTGTCTTTCCACATCAGAGAACTAGTGTCTTTATTGGTCAGGACTTACCAGGATTTACACATCTCTGGTTATTCTCTCAACTCCTGAATACCTCTTGAGTGTACATCTCAACATAGCAGGCAACGTATGGCAAGTGGTGCTTAGATATCAAAAAATATGCAACTTTTGGGATCTATACTCAGACCGAGTGTAGATTTCAGAGCTTCTCAGACGGGTCACAGCAGTCCAAAGAGTTCCAGCTAACCTACTTCTGGAAGCTGAGCTACTGCTTTTGTCATGATCAACACTGTAGAAATACTCTTGAGTGTGAGTGAGCTAGAAGGTAGAACTAAAAACAAAACCTCAACAAACTCTTGCCATCAAAAACCAATACTTTCCCAGAATAATCTGTGCATCACTACCTCAAGATATCCCCCAAAAGGACCTTTTATTTAAAAACAAGAGTTGTTGTCTGACAGTGACTTAGGAGGAAGACAACATATTTGTTCTGGTGTGTACTGCTCAGAGCTTCACATCTTTCTATATTACCTTTAGTTTCTGTATACCTGCATTCTTAAGAGCTCGTTTCACATCTTCATACAATAGTTTTATGCTTTAATTTGGTAGCGGGGCTTGTTCTAGCTTTTTTTGTGCTAGGTATGCTCTCTGCACCATACCGGAGGCAAGAAAATAGAGAAAGCAAGAAGGGTTGTCATAAGAAAATGAATCCAGACGCAGGATTCATTTTAGCTGATTTTGTGGTCAATTTTGAGTAAATTAGTAGCAAAGTCATATCAAAACCAGAAGTTAAGGCTGCGATTGGCATTTTGAAAGAAGCTGAATGATATAGAGACAGAAGTCTCATTGATTTTCATGGGTCAAAATATCTGAAAATCAAGAGTGGGATTCAGCTGCTTAAATTGAACATAGACATCTAGTGTCTTTTTAGAGGCTCTGGGGTATTCTCTAGGCTGCAGCTCCTGACCCAGAAGAATGTGTCTCCTGTGTGGTTTCTGTCATTTTCTGTCAGGCCCTTGTGGTTGTCAGATACTCTAGGGCATCTCAAATGCTATTAGATCCCTGTGTTCGGGCTACTAAGTCCCTCTTCATGTGTCTAGGCAACTGGACGCTTTTCAGCCAGAAGAATTGTGACTGAGCACAGTCTGATCATGCCACCAGTTGTCTGCACATAAATTCAGTGATTAATTTCTATGGCTTTACTTGAAACTTGTGCATTACGACTGTTATGAGTTGGATGACGAAAAAAGACACTTATTCACGGTAATGTCTTCTACGGAAGAAAGGGAAATGGCAACCTGAGATTCAGAGATAATACAGTTCACTTGTTTTCCTGTTTTTTATACCTGATTGTCTGGTTTTGTATTTGTCATCTGTAAACTGGATTTAAATTACCAGATATCATGATGAATAGCTATCTCTGAATGAACAAGTACTGAGTAATGTTTGATATGACAAAGGAACTTACTACATTTAAGGACACAATAATTTCAGCTTTTCTCCTCAGCCTTAGGCCACCCTGTGGAATAAGGGAGCATACTGCGCGCAGAGTGGAAGTTACTGTGCAAGAATTTACAGTTCCACTTGTGAAAGTTTGGATTTCTGTCTCCAGTAATGATGGCAAATTCAGACAAATATTTTTCTTCTATGCCAAATCCGAGGCTACTTTCTTAAAGTCAAACTCGATTTAAAGGCTGAAGGGTGAGCAGGGACCCTAGTAAGCTGTACCGGAAACTTCTTTCTAAACCTGTACAGGCCAGAGTATAAACTAATCTCTAAATCAGAGTTTCAAATTTCAGTGGCGCCTATCAGTTATGTAAAATTTTTACTTGGAAAACTTTTCAATGAAGTTAACACGGAAAGGAGAGAATGTGCTAACTGGTGCCTTCCCTAAAACAATGACGACTCTGGACTAGCTTATCTGCATGAATTCATTTGCGTTATTTCAGCACCCAAGTTCTAGAACTTCATTCATAGAAGCACTGATCCTGTCAATTTTGTTACTTGCAAAGTACTTCACTTTATTAAAATCCCTTTGGAGAGGGGTGAAAACATACATACAGTGTAAAGAAAAAAATCTTTATTAGGAACGTGGACTCAGAAATGTATGAGATGCATTTCAGAACATACTGTTATATATCATATGAGAAAAAACTGTAAGGTATGAAGGATGAATTAAATGACCAGTGCTTGAGATCAATGAAGAACACGCACACAGCTTTTCTAATAGCAGAAATCTGATACCAGTCACAACATATATTATATAGCTTTTACAGTCAGGTAACTTTAAACAAATGTTTTTAAAGAGTGCAAGCGGACAACTACTGGACTGCATTGCCCAGTACTTCTTGTCCTGCAGTGCTGTGCATCCTAAGCGTCACTGAAACCTGCAGGTGTGCGAGGGGAACAGTTAATGCAAGCTGAGATCCCACCTTAGGCAGCAGAAGGTAGAGATGGAGGAAAGATCAAAAGCAAAAGACAAAACCCACTGTTCTTCTACAAAAATGAAAAGGCAAGTATCATCCCAAGGAATATTACTTCCATGAGAAATCTGGAGGGCAGCATCCTGACTCCATTAAAGCCAATAAAAGTTTTTCCATTGAGATCAGTGGAGCCAGAATTTCACTTGAAAATTTAAAACATTCTTGCTTTAATGTAAACAGAAACTACATATCAGTATTTATACATGTATTCAAGTGCTGTTTAAAAACAAAAATAAAAAATAGACAGTGCTAACCCAAAATGCCAGTACATATACAAAAGGCAGATAATTAAAAGAGCTTTTTTCAAATATACATTTTAAAGTATTTAAAAGTATCAATTTTTTAAATATCTGCGTGTCATTGCTACAGAAATAATCTGTGACAAAAATCTGAATTATTTGCAATGATAACGGAAGGGCACAGTGTTTGCTCAGATTTATTTAAAACCAGTATTTTTCTACTTTGGAATCATGACATATACCTGCACATTCAAGCACATTTCAAAGCTGTGCTGAGAAATGGCTGTAGTTCATCACTATGAAATACACTCCTTCTGTGCAAGTATTTCAGTGTCATATCTCATGAACCATTTACGCCCCTTTATATTTTCAGTAAAAAAAGAAACAGAGGAAAGAAAATATCTTTCTTGTCTTTAAACAAACTGATGGCATTTTACACCATGGCAATTTACAGTCATGCATTTGGAGATCCAGAGTCAGTGCAGCTTTTCCCTTTACTGGTATAGTTGTGCCTGTCTTCAAATAGTTCTTTGCTAATTTTCATGCGGACCTCAGGACTGGATAACAGCTTCTTTATCTGATTCAGTTTGGATAACAGGGCCTGTGTTTCTCTGTGCAAAGCTTCCTTTACTAAGTCTGCTTCATGATTCTTTCCTAGAGGAAAAGAACAATATAATACATTTTATAATAACTAATGCCATTTAGAATCATTAATGTACATATAGAAAGAGTACATATCTGTTTTGTACAGTATTAATTGCTAAGAATTTTGCACATATTTATTATGTATAAAAGGTAGTACTTTGTCAAAAAAATATAATTTATTTGAACAAACGCTACCAAAAAGTAAAGAACAATACAGTGTCACATTTAAAAGAAATTCCCGCTATATTACATACTGTGTAATAGTATCTGTGACGAATATCTGTAGTGGTAATTTTTAGCTTAGGATTGACTGCTGTTGACTTTGAAACAGAATGTGCTTTCACGTTGAGTAAGCAGCCCTGTGGCAATGCCAAACAAGGCAGAGGGCATTGTTTCCACTTACAGCAAGGCCTCTTCCATGGCCATTCATTACAGTCCGAAAGGCAAACACAAAGGGTTCAGTTTCTCTCCAAAAGCAAGAAAGAGACCTGGTAGTAAGAGCCAGTGAACACTGGAGTTTCACCATTTCTGTCTTTTTCCATTGTTCGTCTCTCCCAGTATTCAACAGATTTTCAGCAATGCAAACCCTTAATCAAAGCGGTTGGCAGTGTCCTTCGGTTCAGAACAAACTTTTGATAAGACACTCACAAAGCAGAATGCCTGTCAGCCAGCACCACTTAGCAAATTGCAGGAGGGAGCTGGAACATGTTTTTGTAGTTATTTTTGGTAGGCTATTTGCTCCTGGGCTTTTGCAGAGTGTTCACTTGCTGTTATCATTTTCATTTTCACTCTTACTGCCACTAGCTGCTTCTTCTGTTTTCACAGGGCTTCCATCAGTCTGTTTGCTTTTGTTTTGAGTTTCTTCTAAATATTGCTGTACAGCCTTGAGCACTGCATTCTCCACCAGCCTTTTGCTGAGACTCACCAGCTCTGCATCATCTGGCTCTGCTGCATGTTTTTCACCTATGTGTCACAACAGACAAGAGAAGGAATTCATTGCTTCGGAAAGACAGCAGCCATAATTGCATTCTGAGCCTCTGGCTGCGCTGGACATCTAAGCTTTAAGTAATTAGCTGGATTTAAGTCTGCCTTTTCCTAATTGTAAAAATAATTTCCCCCTTCACAAGCTCTGAGCCAAAAGTGATTCATAAAGATGTATATACAGTGTATCAGACTGAAAGTATTTCACTTCTCATCTTTATTCTAACACTTTAATAAGCCATTGGCTAACATAAGCACCCAGGTAAGCTCTGGGAAGTGTACACATTTCATTTCTTCTGGTCAACAATAATTTGTGCCATCTAGGAAAAGACGGTGAACATCACACACAATGAATTTTAGTATCATTCCTAAATCCAGCTGCTCTTCTTTTGTGATTTTGCTTAATAAATCTACAATCCTCTACCTATTCAATTGCTTTATAACGCAAGAACTTCTCACAGGAAAAAAACTGGCTAAAAAAATCTGTCTAAGAGCAGGTTAAAAATTCTTCATCAAAATATTCAACTTGGAAAAGTCATGTACTCCAGCCCCCTCTCCCCTCTGTCTTCTAACTTAATGCCCTGACACAGAAGGAATGTAAATGCCTACAGGCTATTCATAGGTTTTAGGGTCTGATTTCCACTGGCCATATAGTTTGCACTTGAAACTTCGTAATTTCTTGCACTTGGTAAATAGCTGTTTCCCTCCATATATATTTAAAGGTCATACTTTCAATGTCCCTTTCCGGAGTTAGCATTCCGTAACAAGTAATAAGACGCTGCTTAGTCACGCACATCTGGTGAAACAGATACTATTGTATGTTCCTAGCGCAAAGCTTTGTACTGCTCAATTATCTAAATTTGTTCTTTTTCATATATGTAAATTTATTCATTTGCCAGCACATACAGATTATAGTTATAAAAGATCTGTATTAATCTTCCTAGTGGATTGTACAATCTGTGAAGTGATTTCACTGATAAAACATAATGCATGTTCAGTTTTCAACACAGAGAGGAAGTGGGAGAGCAGAGCAGGTAAAAGAGTATCCTACTCCAGAACAGCAAGACAGACCAAACTCTTCCAGCCCTAGTCCTCTACAGTCCTATTACTGTGGGATAGAAAGAACTACACTCTTGAACTGAAGATGCAATGAGAGTAGACCTGGGTAAAGTGTTTCATTAGATTTTGGAAAAAATTTGGAAAAAGACTCTGAAAAATACTGAAAAATGCATCTTTGGGAATAGTTTTGGCTAAATCAAAATTAAAAGATAACAGAAAGCATCAACAACAAGTCTAGCGTTGTAGATCCTTACATGAGTTAGAGAGAGATGTAGACACTATTCCCAAAGCCACTCAAACAGCTACATACTTTCTTGCCTACTGCTTACAATGTTTCTCCGCTATCTGCAAATTCTGGGTTTAAGTCTATCTCTACTTCTTTAGAGAAGGGACTTAATTCATGCTCTTCTCTTAGGAGACCTGAGATATATATGAGCAGCATCTTCTCCCAGCTTTTATGCGCTGATTCCATTTTCTCCTGTGAACGTAACCCTCTGATTCCAATTTTTTCTTTGCTTTTATTAAAGACGCTCATAATTGAAATAAAATGTCTTGGTTTACCCAGTCTATTTATTCAACGGGAAAAAAAAAAAAAAAAAAAAAAAACTCACAGTTAACAGCTACATACTTTCTTGCCTACTGCTTACAATGTTTCTCCGCTATCTGCAAATTCTGGGTTTAAGTCTATCTCTACTTCTTTAGAGAAGGGACTTAATTCATGCTCTTCTCTTAGGAGACCTGAGATATATATGAGCAGCATCTTCTCCCAGCTTTTATGCGCTGATTCCATTTTCTCCTGTGAACGTAACCCTCTGATTCCAATTTTTTCTTTGCTTTTATTAAAGACGCTCATAATTGAAATAAAATGTCTTGGTTTACCCAGTCTATTTATTCAACGGGAAAAAAAAAAAAAAAGAAAAACTCACAATGGTTACCAGTTGAAGTTTCTTATTTTTCAGAATTTCCAGTGAACCAAAGAACTTATTATTCACACAGCTCTAATGATCTCTACATGCAACTCTGAATAAAATCAGTGGGCTATAAGGTACTCGGCAATGCTTATGCTTGACCCTTTAGTAATTAATATGCAGAATATGACTAATCAGTCACAGAGGCCTCCAGATACCACAAAAAGGTAGTGATTATACTTATTCAGAACGTCGTTTTACTTGTAGCACATTGTGTATTATTCTTACATTGTAAGAAAGGACAAAGTTCTTTTCTCACAAATATCTTTTGCGTTCTTATACAACATCAATTTGTGGATGTATGTATAAAATCTGTACACCTATTATTGCATTTAAAAACTTCACACTAAGTAGACAGTTTGCTGTATAAGTAATTTCCCAAGCATGAAACAAAAAATCAGACTACTTAAAATGAAGAGCCTTAATAAAGGCTACAAAAGAAGTCCTCTTTTTTCATATTGTGAGACACTTGTGGCTCACCAACATCCTGAAGTCTGTAGTACCTCATAAGTAAGTTCTGCTTTCTCACGGGGAAGACTTGCAAGGGTTCTACATGTGAATGTGAGAAAAATGTAAATCCCTATAAGAAGAGCACCACTGGCTTCATCTGTCCAGCCACCTTGGTGGACTGGCTATATGATTCACTCATGCTCTGTTTATATTCTCAGACTCCCTAAATAGCACTTCTGTGAGTGTCTGTACAATGTTAAAATTGGCAGAGCTGTTGCACATTACTCTTTTCATGGCTGCTGACAAAAAAGAAATAAGTCAGGTAATAATAACAGATACTGATCATCTATACTTAAATATTCAAAATACATATGTCCTGTCTATATCTCTCTCCTTGTGCTGTAGCTGCTGCTTGTCTGCTTCTAGACCTATAATGCCTTTGTAGCAGGCAAACACTTCTTTGTGTAGACTATCCTACGTTTTAGGAATTATCAGAATACCTGTAAAAAGTCATAGTAGATAAAGATGCTTCAGATTAAGAAAGGAGGTTTAAAAAAACTCAGATCTACTCTGTAAACTCTGTTCTGAGAAAGGGAAAAATTTGTCATGTGCACTGTATTTGCATCCATAGTGTGCTTATTAATATAGATTGTGCCACTACTTTATTTTTGGGCCTATGAATAAAAAACTTCCACTGCCTTCTCCTGCTTGTGGCTCAGAATAAAAGAAGAAAAAAAAAGTTTCATTTATTTCGCTTATCCCAGATTTCTACAATTTTCAAAAGATGAAAACAAATTCATACTACACGAATAGATCTCAATGCATTCATGCTAAGCAGTGCTTTTTATTATTTCCTTGAACTGAAGCATACTCGTTGTCCTGAAATGCCCACAATTTTTTCAAAAGGGAACTATCAAATGCAGACAACTATCCAGAAAGGGTTTTATAATCTTCCAGCCTGCTGCTATTAGTTATGGACATGAACTAGATCCCTGACACCTGATCCAAGTTTGGATTCAGATTCTCTGTTGTATCTTTCTGGGATAGATTTACACTCTAATTCATTCCCTTACATTTTACAAGTGAGACTGATCTGGATTTTGAAATACTGCACTGGAAATTCGGTGATTCTAGTACAGCCTCTTCTTGGTCCTGATACAGCCTGTTTCAGAATTCAGGTGGATATCTCACATTTGGAGAGAGCAAGGACTGTTCCTTGGATGCCTCTCCTATTTGCATTACTAAGCCATTTCTGTGGGTGATTTAATTAAAAGAACTAACAGCACATACCTTTTGCAAAGAAAGCAGGTTTTGTAATCTTTTACCAGCTGCACTTCTAAGAGAGACTTCCGCAACCCTTGTCTTATGGCCTCATTACACTGGGCGTTGTTTTTGCTCCCAACAATGTTTCATCACAACAGAATGATGCCAACGTGGGGCAAATTATAAAGGAGGCTCTTGGTATTTTAAATAGGTGAATAAGAGCAGCTGGAAAGTGTATTCTGAAAGCAGTCAGCAGAGGCAGCAGTCAGTACTCTGGGGAGTGCTGTGGTAACAGACATGACTCAGTCTCCACTTTAATTCGTCCATTTCCTAACACCGTTTTTACAAAATCTAGAAATAAAAACCCACAAGGGGCTCGGGCAGTCTTTCAAAACCTTACCCTTACCAAATTCCTTCTAAACACTAGAAAACTTCATTTTTCTATTTACATGGTGCCTCTTACTGACACCAAGATACTGAGCCAAGTCCCTGTTGCGTGAACATAAAACTGCATATTTCCCCACAAGGCTCCCTTTCTACAGGTGACCCCTCCGTGACTGAGGAGTTCACTCCTTGAGACATAGTAATCACTCACTATAAGGCAATTGATTATTATTCCCTCTGTCCAGAGGCAAAATCTTTGCTGGTGTGCAGTACAGTGGGACTGGAAGGAAGGAGACAACTAACCTAATGATTATTGAAGGGCTAAGAAACTTTCCCGTCCAGCAGATAACTATCAATAATTGCTGAGTAAGGTGGGGTTGAAGATAACAAAGAAAGGCTAGTAAAGCAAAAGCCAGACAAATTTCAGCCATGCGAATTCATACAGTCTGTGACTCCAGTGGCTGTGCCTTTAATATGGTTCACTATCTCTGTGTTATCAGGAAAAGACCTAAAAGTGAACACTTTATTTATACTCACAACATCCAGATGAATGTAGACTACTGTGAGCCTGTCCTGCCCTGCTGTACCCTGTGGAAATATCTAGTTTCTAGTACAGTAGACCTGTGTGTCTACAGAATGTGATTCAAAATGAAATTAAATCCATTGACTTCAGTGGGAATTAGTTGAGGTCTTCACACGTGCAATGTCCTACATATCAGACTGATGCGTGGAACACTTTCTTTACTGAGGACTTTCATATAAATTTGGTAGTTCATATATATGAACAGAACTATAACATTATACAAGTATCATCTCTTCTCACTCTGCAAGAACAGAGAGTCCACAGTCCATAACAAA